AGGCAAGTCAAGGTGCATGAAAGGAATTATCCTACCCACGATTTGGAACTAGCTGCAATTATTTTTGCACTAAAAACTTGGAAGCACTACATTTATGGTTTTCGTTGTGAAGTCTTTACCGATCATAAAAGCTTGAAGTATATTTTCATCTGAAAGGAGTTGAATTTGAGACAAAGACGATTGCTCGGGTTGATGAAGGATTATGATTTGGAGATTTCGTATCACCCTGGTAAGGTGTACATATTTGTAGATGCTTTAGGCAGAAGTCTTCTATGTATGCAGCTTTGATGGTCGCTCAAGAGCATGAGTTAGCACAGAAGATGGAGCGACTTCAGCTCGAGATATTACCAACATGTGCTACTTATAGGATGTATCAACTGTCAGTTCAACGTTCACTTGTGGACCGTGTTCATGCAGCTTAGATGATGGATGCAGACTTAGTACAACTTAGAGAGCAAATAAAGAACATATCGAAGCCCGAGTTTAGTATCGATCAAGATGACACTTTGAAATTTCAGGATTGACTGTGTGTTCCAGATCAGGATGAATTTCGATCTTGAGGCACATTCTACTCCATATTTTGTTCATCCGAGAAGTAGTAATATGTATCAGGATCTTAAGAAGTTATTTTGGTGGTCGGATATAGAAGCCGCTGAAGCTGAGTTCGCAGCTAAGTGTTTGATCTGTCAAATGGCTAAGGCAAAACATCAGAGACCTGGTGGTCTATCGCAACCCCTTCCCATTCTAGAATGGAAATGGGAGGTGATTTCAATGGACTTTGCAATTGGATTACCAAGATCGAAGCAAGGACGTGATGTTATTTGGGTTGTTGTTGATAGACTAACTAAGTCAACCCACTTTTTACCTATCAAACAATTTAGTGGATAAATTAGTCAAGATTTACATAAACAACATTGTTTGACTTCATGGAATTCCAACCGTCATTATGGAAACAAGTGCAAGAAGCCACGAGCACGAGATTAGACTTCAACATTGCTTTTCACCCTTAGACAGATGAACAGTCGGAGCATACCATTAAGACCTAAGAGCTTGCATTTTGGACTTCAGAGGTAGTTGGGAAGATTATTTTCCATTGGTAGAATTTGCTTATAACAATGGCTTTCAGGTTAGCATCGACGTCACCATACGAAACACTTTGTGGCAGAAAGTGTAGATCCTCATTGTGTTGGTTCGAGGTTGGTGAGAGACGAATATTTGGACCACAACTTGTTGATCAAGCTACCGAGATGGTTCGTCAGATTCAAGATCGACTACGTGCGACCAAGGATCGTTTGAAGGACTTTGACCCAAAGCACCGAGAGATTGAATTCAAAGTTAGAGATCGCGTCTTTCTGAAAGTTTCACCTATGCGCGGAGTTACACGATTTGGCCAGACTAGAAAGCTTCAACCTCATTTTATTGGTCCTTTCGAGGCAATCAAGATAGTCGGTACAGTTTGGCTCTTCCTTCAATACTTACGGGAGTACACATTGTCTTCCATGTCTCTCTACTTCGGCGTTATGTACGTGTTGATTCTCATATTATTTGGTACGAGTCACTGGTGATTCGAGGAAACTTGAATTATGAAGAAATACTATATCGTATCGTCGCCTATCAATTCCTTTTGTTAGAGTGCTTTGGAAGAACCAGTTAGAACGTAAAGCAACTCGGAATATTGAAGAAGAGATGATTGCGAAGTACTCGCAGTTGTTCCATAAGTAATGTATGAAGGGTAGTATGTAAGAACCGAATTTTTCTTACCGCAATTTTTTTCTTTCCTTTTCTACTGCTCGTGATCTTTCCTTCACAGTCGCGACCTTAGATGGCCAAAGAACTCTGTTGCAACCATTGCTTCCACAATTTGGTATGTTGAGTTTTTTTTTTTGTTATTCCCTCTAGTTTTTGATTGATCAACATTTTTTATAATAATTGCAGGACAATGAGCTCGAGATATTCAGGGAAGTCAGGGCAAATGATGTGCCGATGTGGGCTACCGTCATTGCTATTCACATCACGATAAACACATAGTTACGGACGACAATTCTACAGGTGCCCGCGATGGGGACAAGGACCGAACGACTGCAAATTCTTCAGGTGTGCCGATAGTGGAACTATTTCTACGATATTCCAATTAGACACAGCTGCTAAGAGTTCAATAGTACCACAACGGGAGAATGCCGCATGTAGTTCAAGTTCTTCCGTTTCTACGATATCCGATATCGCAGTCGGACAGGTTTGAGTCGGACAGGTTTGCTCAGGGTTCTAGAGTGTCAGATGCAGGTGGCATGGGTCGTGATATGCTGCTACATTATAAAATTAACATCATCATATTTTTACTTATCATTTTAACATGTTATTTTTTCTTTTTTATGAACTCTTATTATACTTTGTAATAGTATGTGCTGGTGCATTTGACTTTTGTATGTGTAACATATTCGTTTGATGTGATTGGATGTGTTTTAGTTATATAAATATAAATCAACTTTTTGGTATTTTCTTGTCTAAACAGTGATCTTTAATTTTGTTGAGAAAAGAACAAATTTTGTTGCTCAGATTATTCATTTAATTAAAAAAAACTTTCCAAATAAGCTGTTTGCAAAACGCACTAACCAAACAGCTAAACTGGGCAGAATAGTCAATTTTTCAGATTCAGTTGTTTTCCATAAGCGCCAACCAAACAGCCAGACTGCTTATCCGGATCAGCTACTCATTAGCAGATTATCAGGATAAACTATTTATCAGCAGAAGCTGGATAAGCTGCAGCTGCCCCAAACAAACCCTAAGTGATTCTTCCTTTTTCATGTTGCATGTCCCATTTTTCTTGTGGTTTATGCTTTTAATATATAACTATTATTTACAGAGTTTGTCAAACTTATTCTTAATTTTTGCATAACATGTTTCATTCAGCCACCTATTGAATCGTCTCCACAGGAGCTAGCTTTTTAGTTTTAATTTCCCAATTTTGGGTATTTTCCTTTGTATTTGTTTTCACCTATTGTATTTTTTATTTGTTTGGTCGGGTAGTTGTTTTATGTTATTATTTCTATTTTGATTTAGGTAGTTTTTTATTTTCAGTCCAATTATAATATTAAATTTTTAGTATTGATAAATTTACATTTCTTTTTATTTGTAATGCAATTCTTTCAAAATACAAAACAAGTTCAAATCGGTATTTCATACCTTGCATTGTCGGGTTACCGCCTTTCAGACCTGGGATGTGACAGTTCAAGCCTGCTAGGAAATAGGAGCAGGAGGCAATGCTGGCTTTGAAGAAGGGTGAATGGGAGAGGGGTAGCAGCTAGTCCCCTATGGTATGCTGGACATTCTTCATCTCGAGAGGCTCGTCGGAGGTCAAGCAGGAGGGTTGTAGCCTGAGCGTGAATGAAGAGAGGAGAAAGGGATAGGGAGAGGGAGGGGTTGTAGCCTGAGCGTGAATGAAGAGAGGAGAAATGGATAGGGAGAGGGAGAGGGAGCTTGCCGGCGTCAATGAATGGAGAGAGTGAGGAGTTGTGGCTTTCTTCTTCGGGCAAGTGAATGAGGGGGAGAAGAGGCCAGGTTGTGCAGGAAGCAAGGTGACTAGAATGGGGGTTTGAAAAGAGGAGTTGAAGGTGGTTTTTGGGTTTTTGTTCGAAGTGGAGAGTGACGAGAGAGATAAAAACTTGTGTTCCTTCCTATGAGCAAAGGGTAGAGATAAGATAGGAGGACCGCAATGCGATTAGGGTTTGCCTGCTTGAACAGTAAAGGATTGGGAGAGTAATTTTAATTAAAATTTATTATTATTTAATGCATTTTTTATCTCCTCCCTTTTGATTAGCTGATTGGGAGGTGAGGTATGTGAATGGAAGTGGATAGGCGGTGGGCTTGGCTTCCCATGGAAGATGTATTTCAAATAATTTTTTTAAATCACACTATTTTCTCAAAATTCATGTCGGTAATTTATGTATGAGACACAAATAATATGGGTGTTGTTTTTAGCTAAACTCGATGTTTTGGATTCATCAATGCGATCTATTTTGTGATCGGAGATTGTTTGAGCAAGTTTTGTTGTTGGTCGGGTTGCTTGCTTGTTTCTTTTGATCACACAAAACCCCTTTTTAGGTAATTTCGATCCTTCAAACGCACTTACGTTATCCTTTTTGCGATTGGACCTCGTTCCAGATGACTTTCAGCTTGATCAATGTATTTCAACATTGATCACATTCATCGTGTGTCACTGTCATCTCAATAGATTGAGTTGATTTATGAAGTATGTATAGAAGTCATCATGGTCTTTACAAAACAATTTTTCTAGCACCCTCTATTACTTTTAATTTTTTTTTTTATTTATAAAGGCTGTGTTCCTAATAAAATGATGGTTTTGTGCCTATCCCGCCTTGGATTCTAAGACTTGGCCTTTCATGTTTGGAAAGTCAACTTCCAATCAAATCGCTGGGATGCAGAGGAGACATTCGGCTTTGGATAATAGTTTTCCAGTCATTTGGCTTCCGGTATTTGACTTTGATTACCCATCATTGGATGCTCATTTTCCACTAATGTGGTTCCAAATGCTTTGCTTTGATCACTCGGCTTTGGGCACTTGGTCTTCGTTTGCTTCCTTCTTTGAGGTGGTTTCTGACTAGTGGTGAGCTCTGGACCTTTGGATTCGCAATAACATGGACTGCCCAATCATTGATGACCGGGATAGTCACTTTATGACTATACCTATGCATATACTCACATATTATCAGTATTTATATATGTATGCCTTTTGATTTGATCTCCAACTAGCTCAATTTGTTCCAGGCTTAACTCAAAGCAAGTTTATCTGAGCCGGGCTTGGCTTGCTCTTGCCTTCATTTGTGTTTTATCCAAGCCATAGTCCAAGCAGATTTTTTGAGCAATCTTCGATCTCCAAGTCTAATTTATAGCCTCTCATCCTCATCCAATAGAATGGATGGTTTCAATCGATGAAACAAAATTTAAGCCTTTTTGCTTGAGATCCCATGTAATTTGCATTTCAGCTGGTAGGCAGGGGTCCAAACGGCGGGTTTACCCTAGATGGACTTCTAGCTGCTACAGTTGCGGGCATCGCCATTGGTATTCCTTTTACTCTTGCTGGAATGATCACGGCTGAATGTTCTGCAGATGCAGCTTGGAGGCAGCTGCTAGCAGTACCAGTTGCTGCATTAGCCGGGCTTTTTGGAAGCCTGATAGATTCATTTATAGGCGCAACACTACAGTTTAGTGGATATTGTAGCGTGCGGAAGAGGGTAAAACTTCCATTTTTTTTTAAGCTCTCAATCTGTTTTCATTTCTGAATTGAAATATTTGCTTTAAATTGTTTAAGGTGGTCGCCAAACCTGGTGCGACTGTGTTGAAGATCTCAGGAATGAACATCCTGGACAACAATTCGGTGAATATAGTCTCTGTGTTTTTGACAACGCTGCTTACTTCCATCGCCTGCATTTACATCTTCTAGGTGCTCAGGCTGGTAATTATTATATGCTAATTAGTTACTTCGATTCATGGGCAATTCTATATCATCTACACTAAATAATAATGGCTGAAATAGAAAATCTATATCATTTGCTTATTATTTACTTGTTATAATATGGTTGAGATAACGTATCCTTTAGGTTCAGCCCAAGTTATGTTTTGATATGAAATGTTTTTTATTGATTTTTGCTGTTACGACAAAGAAAGAAATATAGAATATGAAAAGATTATGATGATATTATCAGAGATGATGATTATTGGCTTTGGGAAATGGACAAAGAACTGGATGTCTGTGAGTTTATTTTTTGTTATTTATTTATTTATTTTTGGATGAATGGTCAATTTGTTGCACGCTTCACGATCTGCAGTAGAGTAAACAATTCAAGACAATATGATTTAGAAGTTGTTCAATGATAGATCCACAAAATCAGGAAGTAAAAATGTGTTCACATGGTTCTTCTTTAAGTAGTTGGGGTGTCAGCTTATGAAATTTTATATCATACATTTGTACTAAATGAAAAAAAAAATCATTTAAGTTTTAGAAAAAGATTGAAGAAATATGGATTTTAGACATAACATTTTGATGATTAATTTATTTTCTATTATTACGTTTATGGAAAGTACTCCATTCACCTTAAAATGATTAATGTGGACAGTGGGTCTTAAGGTGAGTTTGGGGCCGTAGTTTTTTATGTTTGGCAACTGTTTTTTATTTACTTCTTCAAAAAGCTGCATCTAAACGATGCATTTTGCCACCAGGCCTGACTAAGTGTGATGGCTGCTAGAAGAAAATTGTAATTTGACTTTTTCAGGTGAGTTTGGGGCCGTAGTTTTTTATGTTTGGCAAAACTGTTTTTTATTTACTTCAAAAAGTTGCATCTAAACGATGCATTTTGCCACCAGGCCTTACTAAGTGTGATGGCTGCTAGAAGAAAGTTGTAGTTTGACTTTTTCAAAAAAAAATGGTAATAGCCACCTAGCTTTCTGATAGTAGGTTGTTGATAAGATCTTATTTGTGTGTGTGTGTTAGAGAGAGAAAGAGAGACGAAGGTTGATGTGAATAGCTCATATGAAGGCCACCTAGCTTTCTGATAGTAGGTTGTTGATAAGATCTTATTTGTGTGTGTGTGTGTGTGTTAGAGAGAGAAAGAGAGATGAAGGTTGATGTGAATAGCTCATATGAAAAATAGATTATTAAGACACTTAAGAATTTTGAGACTCCACTATCTGTTAATTGAAAATAATATAAATAAATATCAAATGTTTAACCATCATAAATAAACATTTTTTATTAAAAATTAGTTCCATCATTGATGTAGCTGATAAACTAACGTCTCCCTAAGGATCTGTTTTAGGCAGCTACAACTTATTTAAAAGCTATTGTGTAGTAACTGTGGTAGGAAGTTGGTACGCGGAAGTTATTGTGGATAAGTTGATTATTTGTTTGTTTTTTGTAATTTTAAAATAATCATCTTGGAGTTGTTTCTCGACAAATGATCCTTATGCCTTTGTATTGTAATGTTGTTTACAACACAACTGTTCACACCAACACCTCCACACACCAACACCTCCACACACCAACATATCCACAACACCACTACCACCACCTCCACACATCATCACATGGCTCATATACTTTCAAATTAGTCATTTATATTTTCAATTTATTGCACATGCAATCCTCACCACCACCAAATTTCGGTCAACAAGATCAACAAAATAGAGTAAATAGAAGCCCAAGTCTGTAGCATAAAAAATCAAAATCATCATCTGAGCATATCACAGAGAATCCAAAAAAAAATTTAAAATCCACCATAAACCGAAAGCCATTGAAGGATAAGAGCATAAAGAGCTCAGGAGAAGCATTGCACATAAGTGTTCACAAAATAAAAAACCATCACATAATTAAGGTAGAGAATACCGGAACAGAGGAGAGAGGAAGATGAACCACGGCACAAAGGGTGGAACCAATGATTCAAACCGAGCCAAAGAACAAAGAAGAGAGGGAGAGGAAGAATGAAAAGCTCACCACAACAACCACCAGAAAGTTAGGGCAGGAATCGCGGAGAGGGAGCCCCATAAGAATTGCAAGAGAAAAATTAGGGCAAGAATCGCAAGAGGTAGGGGCGTAGAGAATCGCAAGCGTTTCAACGGGATAGCCCCGTCAACTATTAGCGAAGGAACGCAAGCCACGGGGTCGAACTTGCTGCCCGTGTTTCCTCCAAATTATCCAATTAAGCGGACTTGACCATTTTTATCAAACACACGACCAACTGTCTCGGGTAGCACCACAGGCATTAAGCCACTCCAAACAGGGCCTAAGTCGATACTCTGTAATAACACAATACTTAAATAAAGATCTTAAAATTCAAACATAGAATGAGAGTGTTTGGGTTCCCAACATATGATGCATACCTGATCAAAAGCAAACACAATAACTGGTTTTCTTATAATATATAACAGGACATAAAAGATGGAGGCAAATTAAATCGAATTAATCCCCCCGATAAACTACTTAGAATACATAATCAAATGTCCCAAGAGCTGGGTGAAGCAAGGTTTATTACATGATATATAATACACTGCGTGCTTTATTCTGAAGAAGGAAATGCTCTGCCATTTTCCATTGTTTCTTCTTCCGAAGACTAACAGCAGCAGCAAAGGCAATCAAGGCAGCATTCACAGGTCTCATAGCAGCAGAAGCAGCAACACAAAGCAAATACGCTGCAATAATTAAACATTTTCTTTAGTTTAATAACTTCATGTAATGGGTGGATCAAAGAAAGATTGTACAAGTGTCATATGTTCCCTCATACACGTGTCTTAATTCAAAGAAAGAAAAATTTTCTTCTCTAGTTTTAACATTCTTTAAATTTCCTAAATTTATTGTTATTTCTTTTAAATAATGAGACACTCAATTATATATATGTTGAAGTTTGGAGGCCGTTTGGCTGAAAGATTTAATACTTTGAAGTTTGGAGGCCGTTTGGCTGAAAGATTTAATTTGAATAAAATTTAATAAACGCTAAGGATCCATTTGGGACAATTTATAAATGTGGGTGGCGTTTCAAAACTTCATCTCATCGTTTGAAAACACTAAACGCAAGTCGCTGGTTGAACCTCACGGGTCACCCGTGGACTGCATTTTAGGATAAACTGTTTATAATAAGCAGAAGATGCCCCAAATATTCAGGTTACAAGACAAAAAATTCTGATTTGTAATTACAGGAAATTCAGATTTAAGATGTGTATGTTCAATTGTTTGGTTAGATTTATGCTAAATCTATAAAAATTCAACATAAATTCTATTGCAAATGCGCTGCCAAACCACCTCTTAATAATTGAAAAAAACTAATTCTTAAAATTATAATCTTGATTCAAACAACACGTCCCTTAATTAAAAAAAACAAAACTTTAGCAAAATAAAACACGGCCAGAAAAAAAAATTCAGAACCATCTCAGGACTAACGTAGTGATAGAGAGAGAGAGAGAGATAGAGAGAGAGAGAGAGAGAGAGCTGAAAGAAGCTGGAAACCTTCTCTCTGCACCAATTATAAACTGTTTTCTGATGAATCACAAAGATGAAGTAAACACAGAAAAAAGAGGGAATATCATTTGTAGAGAGAGAGAGAAGCAATCGATACCAAGCATAAAGGCAGCCCTTTTCCTCATGCCGACGCTGCACGTGGTCGTAGTAAGACATCTCCTGGGCGCCCGGCGGCGGATACATCGACCTTTTCCTCCTCTAAATAGCTAATCCAATCTAGAGAGAGAAAGCTAGCCAACCAGGGCTGAATTTGCTGTTCTGAGAACAGATCACCCTCGTTATATAAGACCAGAGATAAAATCACAGAAACAATTCTTAGTTTGAAAAAGAGAAAACTCTCGCCTCTTTTTGCCATCATTTCTCCTCTCTCTCTCTCTCTCTCTCTCTGCTTGGTCATAAATGACTAACCAGTCAGCTTCTGCCAAGAGGCTACCTTCCTGTTTGACAGAGACTTTGGGGCCAACATTGTCGCTTCGTTTTCTTCATTCAATTTCGTTGATGGTAGAGGATCGGAACTGCCGTCCATGATTTACTTTTTTCAGAAGGTATTAATTTTAGCAATCTTCTTCTTTTTTTCCTCTCTCTGCTCAGATCATGCAATTTCTATCCGGCTGCAGTTCTTGTTAAAAAATAATTATGAATAAAATGGAAATTTAGATGCATACCACAAAATTCTTGAGAAAAATTTGCGTACGTTATTCAGAAGTTATTGAGGAGTTATATTCGTATTATATCTCATGTAACCTACCCGTACCTTCTAGTAAGTTCTGTGCTTCTGTTTTCATATATTTGTAGGTTACAGGTAGGTTACTCCCTGACGTACGCTGCGCACGTCTTACGTACGCAAATTTTTATTGCAATTCTTATGCATTTTACATGCTTAACAGCTAAAGTTTGATATTTGTATTTATAATATTAGTAGTAAACAATTATTCATGAAAAACTGTATTTAACTTGTAAAACATCAGCGATAGTGATATTTTTGATGTGATGTCAATTTAAGTGTTATGTATATAAATATTAAAATTTAGGTTTCATAAATAAAAATAATTCTGAAATTGTAGCAATAATTATTATAGATTTTTAAAAATAGTTGCACGTGTTATTAATCGCATTCTCGTCATAATTTTTTCTTAAGTTATTTATAATTATATTCAAATAATTGTGCTACACATTCTAAAAAAACAGCTAGCATAAAGTATAAGAACTTTCCCCAAGGAGTTCATTGAGGCCTCATTTGGCTAAGCATTTGCTTTTACAAAAATTTGTTAGAAATAACATAAGAGAAAACGATGTTTTAAAGAGAAAATGAATGGTTTTCACCCCTTTCTTCGTTTTGCCTGAACTTGCAGTTGTTGATCTTTTCTTTGCATAAGTCCGGCCAGAGAGAGCTCTGGCCCTTCGGGTGCGTTTAGGGCAGCTGATGCATTTTAGAATAAGTTGATTATCCTGAAACGCAGCCCGCGGGCGGGCGGCA